GTATTTATCCTTGCACCCCCTACTTCAGAGCCTACATGTATTAATCCTTGCACCACTTACTCCAGAACCTACATGTATTTATCCTTGCACCACCTACTTCAGAGCCTACATGTATTAATCCTTGCACCACTTACACCAGAACCTACATACCTACATGTATTAATCCTTCCACCACCTTCTTCAGAACCTACATGTATTAATCCTTGCCCCCCCTACTCCAGAACCTACATGTATTAATCCTTACACTACCTACCCCCGAGCCTACATGTTTAACCCTTTCAATACGTACTCCAGAGTATATTAATCCTTGAACCACCAACACCAGAACCTACATGTATTAATCCTTGCACCACTTACACCAGAACCTACATGTATTTATCCTTGCACCACCTACTTCAGAGCCTACATGTATTAATCCTTGCACCACCTTCTCCAGAATCTACATGTATTAATCCTTGCACCACCTATACCAGAAGCTTCATGTATTAATCCTTGCACCACCTATACCAGAAGCTTCATGTATTAATCCTTGCACCACCTACACCAGAACCTTCATTTTTTAATCTTTGCACCACCTACTCCAGAACCTACATGTATTAATCCTTGCACCACCTTCTCCAGAATCTACATGTATTAATCTTTGCACCACCTATACCAGAAGCTTCATGTATTAACCTTGCACCACCTACACCAGAACCTTCATGTATTAATCCTTGCACCACCTATACCAGAAGCTTTATGTATTAATCCTTGCACCACCTATACCAGAACCTTCATGTATTAATCCTTGCACCACCTATTCGAGAACCTTCATTTTTTAATCTTTGCACCACCTACTCCAGAGCCTACATGTATTAATCCTTGCACCACCTACACCAGAACCTACATGTATAAATCCTTGCACCACCTACACCAGAACCTACATGTATTAATCCTTGCATCACCTACTCCAGAACCTACATGTATTTATCCTTCCACCACCTACTCCAGAACCTACATGTATTAATCTTTGCACCACCTACACCAGAACCTACATGTATTTATCCTTGCACCACCTACACCAGAACCTACATGTATTTATCCTTGCACCACCTATACCAGAACCTTCATGTATTAATCCTTGCACCACCTACTCCAGAACCTACATGTATTAATCCTTGCACCACCTACACCAGAACCTACATGTATTAATCCTTGCACCACCTACTCCAGAACCTACATGTATTTATCCTTGCACCACCTATACCAGAACCTTCATGTATTAATCCTTGCACCACCTACTCCAGAACCTACATGTATTAATCCTTGCACCACCTATACCAGAACCTACATGTATTAATCCTTGCACCACCTACTCCAGAACCTACATGTATTAATCCTTGCACCACCTACTCCAGAACCTACATGTATTAATCCTTGCACCACCTACTCCAGAACCTACATGTATTAATCCTTGCACCACCTACTCCAGAACCTACATGTATTAATCCTTGCACCACCTACTCCAGAACCTACATGTATTAATCCTTGCACCACCTACTCCAGAACCTACATGTATTAATCCTTGCACCACCTACTCCAGAACCTACATGTATTAATCCTTGCACCACCTACTCCAGAACCTACATGTATTAATCCTTGCACCACCTACTCCAGAACCTACATGTATTAATCCTTGCACCACCTACTCCAGAACCTACATGTATTAATCCTTGCACCACCTACTCCAGAACCTACATGTATTAATCCTTGCACCACCTACTCCAGAACCTACATGTATTAATCCTTGCACCACCTACTCCAGAGCCTACATGTATTAATCCTTGCACCACCTACTCCAGAACCTACATGTATTAATCCTTGCACCACCTACACCAGAACCTACATGTATTAATCCTTGCACCACCTACTCCAGAACCTACATGTATTAATCCTTGCACCACCTACACCAGAACCTACATGTATTAATCCTTGCACCACCTACTCCAGAACCTACATGTATTAATCCTTGCACCACCTACACCAGAACCTACATGTATTAATCCTTGCACCACCTACACCAGAACCTACATGTATTAATCCTTGCACCACCTACACCAGAACCTACATGTATTAATCCTTGCACCACCTACACCAGAACCTACATGTATTAATCCTTGCACCACCTACACCAGAACCTACATGTATTAATCCTTGCACCACCTACACCAGAACCTACATGTATTAATCCTTGCACCACCTACTCCAGAACCTTCATGTATTAATCCTTGCACCACCTACTCCAGAGCCTAATGTATAAATCCTTGCACCACCTACTCCAGAGCCTACATGTATTTATCCTTGCACCACCTACTCCAGAGCCTAATGTATAAATCCTTGCACCACCTACTCCAGAGCCTAATGTATAAATCCTTGCACCACCTACTCCAGAGCCTACATGTATTAATCCTTGCACCACCTACACCAGAACCTACATGTATTAATCCTTACACTACCTACACCAGAACCTACAATTAATCCTACCACTACCTACTCCAGAGCCTACATGTATTAATCCTTACACTACCTACACTAGAACCTGCATGTATTAATCCTCTCACTACCTACCCCCGAGCCTACATGTATTAATCCTTACACTACCTACAACAGAACCTACATGTATTAATCCTTACACTACCTACCCCCAAGCCTACATGTTTAACCCCTTTAATACGTACTCCTGAGTATATTAATCATTGCATCACCTACTTCAGAGCCTAATGTATTAATCCTTGCATCACCTACTCCAGAGTCTAATGTATTAATCCTTGTATAACCTACTCCATAACCTATTAATAAGTTCATTATCAGGTGTTCTGGGTGTTTCGGCAGTTTAAATGTTTCCTCAACTATTATGCCATTATTTTTTCTTCTTCTACCTATCTATGTGACTTTAGCTTGATTGTCGATCTGGCCATTAGGTTTGTCAACTCTTATGATTTCTGTATTACAATAATATACACCAGACAAAACTTGAATGTATAATGATGGCGGATTAAGGTAGTGATGATTTATCAAAACATGAAACCAAGCTAGTTATAACTTACATGCATTTTGAATAAAGGTAGTTTCGGGCGCTCGCAACCTACAACTTCCGCCATAGTTCTCACTTAAAATGTGGTTTTTATTTCAAGGGCGCGGTTATATGTATTTATCCTGGCTTCTATGAACGTTTTTCTCTTTAAATCGTCAGTCTAAGACAAACGTATCCTCGACACATAAACTATCCAGTTTGCTTAAAAGTTAACTGAAATGGTATATTAACAAATGGCATAATACATTGATGAAGGTCCAAAGTAAGATAATACGGGGGATGAGGAACCTGCGGAGCAGAAGTAAGAAGATATCGTTTATGTTTATCTTGAAACATTTGCCTTGAGTTTGATTATTGAATACTTTATCCTGGTATGACTCATTCACGGAAGATTGTAGAATAGTCTTAAGCATTGTTATTTTGGTGTATTACGTAAACAGTTTTGTAAGGAATGTTACGTTTTGTAAGGTTCTCATTCAATACCAAACGTGATAGATACTAAAACGTATGGCCTTTTGTGTAGTGGTTATGCCGACATCAAGGTAAAAGTATCAAGTATTGTCTGTTGTCGGTGTGCGGGCTTGCATACATTATCGGAAACTGCCAGTTGTGAAGACAGTCAGACCAGGGATATTGACACCTAGGGCGGTATTATAGAGTGCTTGTTATTTGTGCTGCTAATTATGTTAAAAATTTTGTTTGTGATATTTTCTTGCCCCAGGAAATTGAAAAAAGCGAATCATTGTCAGGAAACTTTACCCAATGGTTAACAGACTTCGTTAGTAACAAGAAAGGATGACGGAGGAACGTTTACTCTAAATGATTTCGTTCGTTTAAAATAGCCATAGGGGTTCGATGCATATTATTCTACTGTCGTTTTAATGAGCGTTTTTATCAAACTTCACGCTAACAGTAATAATTGTCACTTTTTTAAGTCTATATTTTCGCTTCTTCTGAAATAGATTGTGCTTTGTCTCACCTCGACATGCGTAGCTCTAGATTTGATATTTTGTAACAAAATACAAACATCTGATGTTGTTTTGTTATGTACGTTATGCTACATAAGTCATTGTTACAGTTTTATTTATCAAACTTCAGTATCAATGTTGATATGGGTAACACCGATTATGATAGATCCTTTAAGCTATTAGCTAGCTGTCAAATCCCTTTTTATCAACTTTATATGTTTTTGTATGACTATTGTTGTAAACATTGAATACAATATTAAGACTAATTAGATATCTTATTCAAGAGACACACGGAGGTTTCTCTTAGAGGTTTGTTATCTTCTTCATCTAATTGGTGTTACTTAATGATGAAATTTAAAAAGTCACAATATTTTTAACCAATTACTTTCGATGAGATTATCATAATAACTAACCAGCATGATTTAAATAACCGTGTTACACCATAGCGTTTTTGTTTCGCCATGACAGTAGTAATGATTAATCACTATATATAAATATTATCAATGTTTTGTTCTGTAAGTTGTTTCATTTCAAGTAAATATATCAAATAAGGGAGACACAAGAAAATTGAATTGTGGATTTTACGATTCATTGATTGAAACGTGTGTAACAAAATTGTGGTAATAAATAAAATACTTTCGTTTATGATAAAATAATAATGTAAGTTTAGCGAGTATGAAAAATCAAATGTAAATGTATACCTATGCTTTACCTCAGTATAGAAACTCCTGCAGAGGACTTAATGTCATTAGACCAATTTTATATTGAGCTTACTGTCAAACACATTACTGTAACACCACTAGCGCTATTGGGACATCACTACCAACTGGTGCGCGATGTCATCCTCACTACCAACGGATAACATCAATCAGACACTGGGTCTGCCTGATGTACGATATTGTCCTACCTACACAAGTAATAAATGAAGATAAACCGTTCGTTTTTTAAAGAATTTTTATTATTTTTTTTTTTTCATACAATATGTACAAGTCTCGTTTTGAAAATAACAACGATTCTCCAACAAAAAAGAATTTTATAAATAAAACGTTCTCCAAATATATACACAGAGAGGAATGTGTTAATATTTCACCATAAATAACAAATGAGTTGCTATCGTAACCAACTTTTCACGAGTAAAATGATCCCATGTGTGTCGGCAAATGTCCCGCATGAGGTGACATAACGTGATTTGAAATGTAGGGTGAGATGTTATTGGTTGTGGTTGGCCAATAAGGATTCGTGGCGGCAAATAAGCTTGGAGTAGCCGGCGCTGGCATTGACGCATGCGCAGGTAGGTAGTTGAGTCTAGATGACGGATATCCGGACATGATCATGTCCTGTTGGTATCGGTACGCTGAGTCCGGGGCTGTCGGTTGAATAGCTTGCTGTAGACCAACAAAGTCAAATTTGTATGCATACCTCTTGCCGTGTACTTTGGTCATAATGTTTTTGTCATAGTAGTATCTGAGCGCCCGACTCAGCTTATCGTAGTTCATGTTAGGTTTGCTCTTTCTCTCGCCCCAGCGTCGAGCCACCTCGTCCGGGTCGACCAGTTTGAACTCCCCGTTGCTTCCCTCCCAGGAGATACAGCCCGCGTTACGCCTGTCAGAGAGAAGCTCTAGCAGGAATTGCCACAGCTGGATCTGTCCACTGCCTGTAATAGTTAAAACAAGTAATACATAGAGAATTTGTAGTAGTTATGTTTTTCGAGATAGAATTACCACAAACGAAACTTTCTTAATATTGAATATGCTATTTTCGTTATTTACGTTGAATTTACTAGGCCATATCGATAAAAAGTCCAAAGATATTGACAATATATTGGTAATGGACAACGACGCTGTGAAACGTTATTGGAATTGTTATAGTACTCTCGTAAAGTATGCAGGTAAAGCAGATACGTATAAACATTAGTGTGTTCCACGAAACAGAAAACAGAAAGGAAACATTTCCCATACATTTTACTTTGCTGATATGGATATTTAAATTTCTTTAAACTAACAAGTAAATGAAGAAGGAGGATATGAAAACCGACAGATAAGCGGTTAATTTGTGGTCTATAAGTTAAAAATAACATTTCGGTAATGGCACGGATATCTTTAAATAAGTAGTGAACTTCTGAGTGTTCAAAATAATGTTCTTGTTAAATAACCTAAATCTGTTTTATATACTCACCAGAACTTGAAAGCCGACTTGAAATGGGGCCATACAGCTGATATGGATCTGCAAAACATGAAATTATTTGATGAATAAGCTGAAGCTTTATTGTAAACCAAGTCTATATTCTAACTATCTAACGACAAACTATTGCCTAATAACCGTAAAACTCTGATAAGAAAATAATCCATCAAGTTCAAATCCCATTTAATACAGTAAACGAAATACCGGAGTGTCAGATTGAAAAATCACCGGATGAAAATCGAAAGACAATTGATAGAAACTGTCTTATATCAAACGATTCTGCTGCCTTGTACCAGAATCTAGCGATTTAACACAGCGCCACACAACGTAATACGGAAAGGGTTTGACGAGAGAGTAACTCATTAGATATCAAACCCACTTACAATTCAAGAGGTCGCAGGCTTAGAGACAAAGATTACAAATAAGATGTCAACATTGGTTCAATAAGAAATTGGGGGCTAATTTTCTACACCAGATGATAAAGAAACTCGCATTTTCCAACTCATTTAAACAGGAATCGGCCCGCGGGACCTAACCAGTAGCTACACTCGCTTCGCTCTCATTGAAAGGTCGTTACGAGATTTACCCAGGCGACTAAATATCAATTTCTTTATCAACCTCCGTAGATACAGACAATTTGATAATAGAAAACAATTTATACAAGCTTCTCGTCGACTTGTGGTTTTGTTCCACAGGACAAAGTATATATTCAATAATATCCTGTAAATTACCGTCCCAATCAGATGGGCTCCTCCCTGGGGACATTTAGGGGCCGGGGCAGTGATCGGCGCAATTACCGCTGATACTGGGGGAGGGCCGTATGGAGGAGCCGGAGGGTGTACCGGGAAAGACGATTACAAATTCTTTTGTTAAAACAATTACAGTGACAGTGGTGGGAAGCTTGACCGTGGCATCTTTATGACTATCTTTTACGGTGACAGAAAGTGCGAAAAATCGCTGAATACCAAGCATTATTGACCTTTACTTGGATGGAAGGACAAAACAGATGTAGTGTTGATATAACGTAATGAGAACCTCTGGTCATAGCCGGGGACTATCTAGACACGTGTAACACAGGGGTACGAACGTTTGTCACATTCATATGGTCAAAGAGGATGAGAAAATGATGGCACCCAACACATAGGTTTGATCTCCATTTAGCATGTATGGAGACAAATTACAAAAGCTGGTGAATAGAGTGACACGCGGATTATAGTGTAATGGCGCCAATTAATTTCCAAGCAAGCGAAAGCTGAAGAAATAAGTCAGAGGATGCTAAACAAATCAAGTAAAATACAATGAAGAAACACTACCACCTCATACAATATAACATGGACGCTGACATCTCTTCGTCATCTTTGTTACATGTGTTCATATAACCCCCTTATAGACGATGTCGGCTATCATTACTATATTTCACTTGTTAATCTAAAACCGAAATTGCTATTTCTTAATACAGATGTATTTGAAAAATATACCACCAATGCAAACTCAGTCTGAACAACGAAAAGAAAGCATCGTTTTGTTACAAGTGCTAAAAACGAAATGGGAAGACATAAAAGAAGCAGTATAATATCGAAAGTAAGATTTGTATGAAAGATGGTGATATGGTAAATGTAGGAGTTTGTACTATAATATTTATTTTGAAACAACGTCATGCCATAAAGTGTCACATAACCGAATACAAACTGGCATCTCTGTCAAGAATAAAAAGCTGAGAGTCAAAATCGTAATTAATTATGGTACTCGATGTCAAGCAAGAAAGGGTCAGCTAATTAACTAACGGACCTCATACAGAGTCAATAACAGTACTAGCTAGGCTGTATCCAGTGCTACTAGGGGCTGGTTAATCGGTTGACAATGACCTAAATAGTCGGTAGGGTCTGTCCACGTCAACCCTAAGAGCTGTTTAGTGGGTAACAATGGCGGAGTGGATGTGTACTTAGGCTATCGTTTACATCAGTTCTCCTGTTCGACAATACAAATAAACGCTTCATTACGTCCATGGCAGACACCTTTACAAACTTAATGGCCATTCTCCGGACACTGGTCACTACAGCCTTGATAATCAATGGTCACCCTTGACCCGACACGCGCGTGTTTGTCAGTAGCAGACGACGCGTACATTGCACACGTGTTATGCATGTTGCGCCTCTCCTTGGAAAGGTACATATTTCATTACTCTTTTCAGACTGAGTTGTTCCTAAGTGTAGTTAAGGGTCGTACACTTGGAATCAATACCTATAGGACAATGGGTACGTTGGTTACGACCATCTACCCGGAACGTAAATCAGCTTCTGAAACAACGGATACCACATCCCGACAGTTATGACGCGTCTAATTAAAAGTAGGGGTCTTGGTGGAGGGCAGAACGGGACATATATCATCTACCCGTATCGTTACTAATTGGACAGGTAAAAAGAATCCAACTCAATCACAGGTCATTGCTAACTGTGAAATTTTCAATTAAATGTTAAATGAGATAATTACTTTCACTGGATCAGTAAACTAAATTATATTCCCTTTGTCCGCGTGAAAGTGTATAGATTTCATGTTTATTAAATGAGAAAAAGAAGCGATTGAGGCGCATGACTTGTGATTATCTGACGCTAACAATGTCAATAACATTTGCAAAAGTATATATCATGCTTGTCAAAATAGTTAAAAAAGATAATAATGAAAACACGGCATGGCCACCCAAGCATGCCTCCGTCTGGTCGTCTATTTAAAATCATTTCTATATGGTCATCAACATAGTACAATATATACGCGTAATGAAAAACATTCACAAAAACTGCACGTCATATGCAACAATAGCAATGGTGATTTTAACATAAATTTATTTTTATTTTATCTCTAATTGATGTTAAAAAAACAGATAAAAATATTGATCGTCTAATAATACTTTAACAAATAAGAAGCTGTATAAATTGCTCCTGGGTCTGAACGAAGATGTCCTACTCATATTATAAAAAACGATTGGTTTTATTTTGAGACACAATGACACGTTTACATATCCCAGATAGCAGCATATATGTGTGGTGCCAGAAGAAAAGGAAAGGAAATGAGTACATCAATAGCTGCTATCGCGGAGAGTACGAATGCATCACACAAAGGGACGTGGGGAAGAGAAAAACACGACCACCAAACCAGACCCGGCGTAACTTCCTGTGCATGTTCAAACAGACAATAATGTCCTTCTCACATTTCCTCTGTCGCTACCTCAGCATAGCACAAATCGCCTGAAGATTGCATCCAATCGAAAACTAATATGGCATCATGATAATAGACTAGGATCGCCAGAATCATTGCTTCAAAATAACACTGTTTTATGGTTGAGAATCCCAACAATCATGAAAGGTCTAGGAGGAAAAGACAACAGGAAAAATTACAATGATAAATTGACGAAACCTAATTACTAAGGAAGTAATAAGGTCCATCACTGATGCCACATTTTCCTCTCGACTTTACCGGGTCTTCTTTTGATTAATACAGTTAGTAACGAGAGAGGAGAAAACTTTCTCGTGCTTTAGTAAATCACAAACAGTGGCTGATTAGCCCATGGTTAAGACGAAGATACTGATTTAAGGGCATCAAGTAGAGGCATCGATTATCCCTACATATCTCTTCTCTTGTGGAGTTCTTGTGAGAGATAAAAATTAAAAACAAAGGACATAAATCTTTTCTCAGAAAATTGTCAATAAAGTTGAAACCAGACTAGAACAAAGAGATTCGATTGTTGTTATAAATGAAATTATTAAGCCTACATATAAAGATTTTCATTTTTAACATATTAATACATGTAAAATGAATATTATATCAAATGTTTATGGGTAGAAATGTATGTATTGTGAGAATGAATACGTATACAATGGGCAGATTAAGCACATATTCTCATTCACAAATCTAATACAGTACCATATAGTACTGCCAACTTGACCAAGTTATACACTCTTTTATTGAGTTTAGTATACTACAATGTAGTACGTTATACAAAGAACATGTATATTAGCAACGTAACTTGCTTGTAATACTATTTACAGCATTACTTGTTCGTCTAAAAACAAGATTCATTAAATGGGTGTAACATCTATGTCTGTATGATGTTTGGATATAAGGAATAATATTAACGTTGTTTCTTTACACATTACACAGTACTCTCCCTTTGATCTCATAAACTATAATTAGATATGCAAAATGCTATAAGTCTGTGATATTACGCTGCTCAATATGCTTATCAATTACAAGTAGTGAGTCGTTGACATTGTCCATATCAATAAGATGTAGTTGTATATATGAAAACACCAGAATGTGTTCTATAATTTTGTTAATCACTTATAATACGTGAGATAACTTCTTTTAGGGGAGCTTCATTCCCAAATTTGAAAGTAACATGGTTAAAAATTAATTCAAATATATCTAGGGACGCGTGCGTTTAGAGAATTAAAATATTATATAGAAGAAGCAATAGTGATTAACAAATGATAAGTGATACTAGCAGGGGCTACCTCTTTACTCACCTTGTGGGGTAGGACTTGTCTGTGGGGTCCAGGCTGACTTGCCAAATCCGTGATCTACAAAAATTTAGAATGTGTAATTTTAACACATGATTTGATATAGTTACAATCAATGTCAGGAAAAAAAATATGTAATATATGATGTCTAATTAAACAAATAGCAATTCTGTTTAAAAACTTTTCTTTCTTTCTTTTGAATGTAACGCTAACGTGATGGGGGTATTAATCTATATACAACAAAAGTCCAGATAGAGAAATCATTTCTGTATTAACATTTACTTCGTACTTTTATTCTTTATCGAATTAAACGGGAATTTAAGAACGATTAAAGAATTTCAAGTGATAGTTTTTTCTTGTATATAACATCACTTCACTGGAATTTTCCTGAAATGTTTTGGGTTGTTTAGACTGTTTAAAATTAAATAAGACAGGCCTTTTGGGTTTCAAAACTGATTGATTTGTGTTTTTTAAATTCATTATGTAAAAGGAATTCGAATAGCAGTGCAGAGATCATATGTAGAGCATCATCCAGACCTAGAAGATAATTATACGGGGTTGTCGGTGATCAAGATAGATCTGTTTTAATAAACAATTTTGGTCTTAATGTCAAACTGTTCGGCGGAACACGATAAATGAAAGTTGCCATGATTAAAAATTGCAACAAAATACGGACAATTGTTCAACACCACACCCACACGTATCCGTCGATTTGACCGAGTCATCCCATTATAATTGAACTGGTTGCAAACTATGCTTGTTGACGAGATAGGTGAGATTAGATGTGCTAATGTGACGTATGCTTAGTCATGATTCATAGTACTGTATTATTCGAAGTGTCTCGGAAATTAGCATTTATCCACATGTTTTACTGGTGCACTCTGGTAAAGTCTGGTATGTAAATGGATTGTTTCCTTATCAAAATACGTACACATTAACACATTGTAACAAACTGTTCTGGGTGTTTGTAACACTAGGGATGAAGTTTGGTCGAGTACACATGATGGACAGGAGAATAGTGTTCAACTAAATATTCGTGACTTCTCGTATTTCCTTTGCATATAAATATTATCTCTGATATGTTTTAGATAAAACCATATTGATAAAGTTAGGTACACAGCAACGTATATTACCTTTAAATAATTGTCCGAAAGATTAGTTTCATCCGGAAATCTTTCTGTGAAAGAATTGCCTGTCAGTTATTTAGTAAGTGGTATTTTGATACGTAGTAACATCCATGTGAGATGAATGTAAAATGTATTGCCATATATTAGAGAGTTACGACCATAACAAACATGGTAAGTACACTAGTGTTGTTAAATGGTCGCAAAAAGAAAATATTGTTATATTGTTTTAATTATACATAAACGTGGGTCAAAGTTCAGTGTAAATTTTAAATTTAAGTAGTTTTGATATTATCGATAGTATAAACCAACATACAATGCAGTGTTATGTAGAGGAAATATTATACAAAGTTTTGACTTTGAAAATTAATGAAAAATTAATGATATAAAATTGTGATATATCTTGAATCAGCATTAGTGCGTCTACTACAAAATAAACTAGATAACCATAAACATTAATTTAAATGCTAAAATTTCCTGAAATATTATGCACTTCATTACTATTGTATCAGGCTAAAGTGATAAATCCTACCGCTTGGAATAAATCCATGATGGTATAAAAAATAGCAGAAATATGTTTTTAATATTTCAATCGTAAACTATTAAATATTTAATAGCAGGGGGACATACGGGTAAAATTAAAAGCAGAAATAGATAATTATGAGTAAAATTAAAACAAATAAAACAAAAACAAAAAATACTGAATACTTAATATTATCAAAGAATGTTTTACAGAAAACACCACATGAGTTGGGTAATCGATACTGTACTCGACAGTTTTCACGTGATTGATGACGTGACGTGCATTTGTTTGTACACGTGCCAACAACTGATTGTGACAGATGACGCAAAAATTGACGTCGCATTTACCTGAGAACATGAAACTAGAAAACCCCGCAAATGAGCATTGTCTGAAGTAATCGGCCTGCTTCAACGCTTGCATGTGCATCTTGATGAGAGTGTGGTTACGGAGACCTGGGGTGGATTGTTACGTTACACGTCTTGTCATCAACAGTAAATGTTTTCATCCGTCAACACAGCACGTGATTTGTCACGCAAAATTTTCTCCATGTACAACCCAAGTAATCCGCTTCACAAGTAATGAAATAGATTTGTCCGCGCTGTGACTTTCGAAAAAGATTAATTTCTTTCCCAATTCTTTCTTTTATAATTCTCTACTGTTAGCACTTTTAAAATCACTGATGTTTGTGGTCAATCACATCCATAATGAATTAAATAATGATTGTCTTGGCATTAATTTTAAAGTCTGAATCATCAATAAAACTTTCTCGTCCAGTTGGCATGGCTAACGATAAGATGATGTTTCATGTTTATGAAGATAACAACTCGTCAGCTGATTCCATGTGGTCAGCAACACAATGTTGATTTCTCGGCAATTATAGACTGGTACCTATTAGTCATTAATCACAAAATCTCATATATCCTGAATAGTTCCAAAAATAATCGCACAAACTTCCAGTAGAATAATTAAAATAGCATCAGTAAAATAAGTTCAACGTCAACAAAAGCATCACATCAAAAACTAAAATTTCGACCTCTGTGACTGACAGGCTTAGTCGCTACCAACATTGATGTTAAGCGATGACATACAATGATAATAATGATTATAATTTGCGTTCCTGCTGTTTGCCATTTTAAAGTTTTATATATCGCCTTATTCTATAGCGCTGAGCTGTGATTTACGTGTACGAACCAATCAAATCGTTTAGCGGATATCAGCGATAGCCAATGTGTTCCTGTGTCACAAACTGCCTCTTTTCTTGGCGGCTGATCAATACCGGCTAAGTGGCGTAACATAATTCCGGGCTCGGCGCGCGAGGCCGGTGTTTACATTGTCGTACAGCAATACAGAGACTCGGAAACGCGGGGGGCTTCACACCCATCAACAAAGCCGGGGTGTAACGGGACATTGTGATGCCCTATTATATATGTGATTGGTTATTTTGAAATCTACTCCCATCCTATCTGCATTTGTATAGACAGAAATGGAACATGTTACGCCATACATTCACTGACGATAACCGACAATTTAACGCCGAATGAAACTCAGAGTAGAATATAATGAAAAAATTGCTTGCTTGTCTATATATGTTGCTCTGTAAATGTGATCATGTGAACTAATTTCTTCTTAAAATACAGCTTTTTATTTTCCTTTTTATGCGATCGACTAATTTTGTTAAATACTTATTTTTATACATTCATTTTCATGTGGAAACATGGATTGTACGATATAATATTTTATTCTTTTTTCCCATCTTTTTTATGTAAACACATTTGTATTTTTGTTAAACCATTTTTTTTGCTATCACTTTTTGTTTATTTCCTTTATGGCATCCTTGTAGAATGGCTCACTTTATGTAAGAAAGCATTGACTACGTAGCTGTATTTCTATATTCGGTGATGTTTTTTTCCTTATCAGGCAGCTCCTTTAATGTAAATGAACACGTTGAATACATTTTATTCGTTTAGGCAGACATTTCTGTACATCGGTATAGTTCATACCCCATTTTTCTACACATCATAATGGTTCCACTGAAACAGATTTATAATTATGAATTATTTACCTTATAACGACGGTCTTCAGTTTAACAGCGATGCTATTTAATTTCCTATTCAGTTACGAACTACCATTTTTTTTATGTGAGAAGAAAACATCAAGTGTACGAATTTAGGTTACATATTTCTTGGGGAATTGTATATTTATTGAGTGTAATGACACATAATACAGTTTATTTCCTAGGGCTAAACCTTAACATTGAGTCCGTGGTATATATACTGTGCTGATATTTTTAACATTAATCTGTAAAACAAAGTAAATCACCAAAGCAATTCTACAAACGACAAACAATATATTCGATTCCAATTGATAACAAAAGGAATTGGAATTAAAATTACGGCCACTTAAAGTACATTCTGGAACCGGTCTATATATTAAATATTCAGTTCAGTGTAATAATTATTTTAAATGCGAGTATGACATTCCTATTGTCATATTATATGTAACATATAATGAGTATGACATTATGTAATTATCACATATAAATAATATGAATATGATATTCCTATGATATATATAAACAGATAAGTATGACATCACTATGTAAATATTTTACATATAAACAGATTAGTATGACATCACTATGTATATATTATATATATATGTATGACATCACTATTTATATATTATATATATAAGTATGACATCGCTATGTATATATTATATATATTCAGATGATTCTGACATCCATATATATAATAAATATAAACAGATAAGTATGACACCACTATGTATATATTATGTATATAAGTATGACATCACTATTTATATATTGTATATATTCAGATGATTATGACATCCATATATATAATAAATATAAACAGATGAGTAAGACATCACTTCGTATAATTATATTCTATATAAAAGATCAGTATCACATCCATATAAATATATTGCATATAAACAGATGCGCATCACGATATATATATATTTTATATAAAAAGATGAGTATGACATTCTATGTTTATATTTCATATACACTCAAGCCGTTTTATTTCATTTAACATGAAAACTACATAATGACAACATGTAGTATTGACTGAGAGTTCCACAATAATGTGTAATTTAATGAAGATTGACCCTTTATCATTGTCTATGATGAAAAGCAAGGGTTATACTGTACGCATTAAACCTAAATTGTTTTATAGGCATATCCATGATATAAATACGAAAACTAATGTTATACCAGGTTTTTGTTTAGTGTTTTTATGATAAACTATGGCAGGAACAAATTCACTGGTGTCAATAATGACTAATACTTTCAACTTAGAAAGTATCCCTAGATTTATATGTTAACAGGATAAAGTCTTAATACCTTCGGTAAAGAAACATTTAGTAATCGTATATTACTTCTATCT